TGAAAATAATATGAAAATAACTGATTTATGCATCTTTTTACTACATCGACGATTGAATACCATAGTTTTATGTGAAAATGAAAGGTTTCACCAGTAGTGCTTGTAAATATAATGACTTTCAGTTTGTTACGAGGATTATATATGACTAGTCATTTCACATCTGAGGATGTCACCCGCGTTGCTCTTTGTATTCTTTTCTCATGGTCTACAATGTGTCACTTTCAAATAAGTACTATAATTACAATCTTCTTTTCTCTTCTAGAAGAAAAAAATGATGAAAGAAAGTTGATGTTTATATTATATCTGCCAAAAGAGTGGCTAGAAGGAAAAAAAAGAGATTACTCATGTTTTGTCAAGGTGGCGTTCAAAGATAAGTTGATAATTTAAAATAAAAATGCATATTCTCTTTCAACATGACTGGTTACTTTTATATGATATAATATTTATGGAAGAATAAATTTCTAATGAAACATTTATGAAAATATTTTCTAGTTTAAAACAAAGAAAGATAATCATGAGAAAGCACTAATTTATAAAAGAAAGAGGCACAATGTCATCAATTATATGCTTAATAGACTCTTAATTAGTAAGCAAGTTCATTTAAGCATCTTAACAAAATTTTGATTTAGTTTGAATAATTAAATTTATTGTGTGAGTTTCATTGTTTCCTTTTACATACTACTTTAAATAAACTACATAATCATACTTAGAGTTGATCAAAAGTTCCGTTAACAATAAATAAAAAATATCCAAATAGAAAGATTTTTTTAATTTCATTTTATTACAAGTGTTCAAAATAATCAGCATAGTTATTTATAGAAAGTTCCATATTTTCTAAGAAAATATCAAACGCTCTTTTTCAACTCTTTTTCTGAAATAGTTTTCAACTATCTTAGAAAATCGCATGAATCAATGATTTTTCATTTTGCTTGAGTAGTTAAATTACGCTTAATATAATCATATAGCCATCAATCACATGATGCAAAATCCGATGAAAACGGTGGATGTGGCATTATATTAATACCTTCTTATGTCAAATAATTAATAGCCCATCTAAATGAGTATAAGATGAAGCATTGTCATGAAAGAATTTTATACGTTTTGCATCTGATGGCATTCTTTATTTCCATATTCCATTGACAATAGATTTGTGGCAATTTTCAATATGATAATTGTGATCTATAGTCTTACCTTTATCTACTTTATGTATAAGAACAGGAACATTTGATTTAAAGAATATAGAAATCAAAATTTTTAGTTCAAATCAACTTCGGCGAACAATAATTGTTGATGATTCACCTTCACTAATACAGCTTGCGTGAGTTGATTTGCGCCTAACTTGTCTATTATAAAATCGTATCTTGTCATTTGTAATAATATAAAATAATTGCTATGATTCATTATGAAATTTCGTCAAATTTTAACTCGTTTTTGCTTTTGTTCAGAATGAAGTTGACGAGGCGGCACCCAATATGATATAACCTTTCTCATCTTTCGACAATTGTGAACAATTGATTCTATTGTAGCATGAGAAAGAAGTTTCAGCTATAACACTATCATATGTTGAATGTGGATCATTATTGATAATCTGTCGTATCAGTTCAATATTTACATCTGCAAGCTGTGTAACCGGACGATCAGATGGAGTATCATTATTGATATTTCCTCTTTCTTCATTAAAACACTTTGTTTATCTTGCTATTGTTGGAGTGTTAGGCCCCAATAATATTGTAAGTTCTTTATAAATTGTCTTCGCATCTATTCCTAAAACAGTCCGAATTTCAATATAATATTAATTAAATTCATTATTTTTTTTTCAAATTTTTTTAGTGGGAATTGGATTATATCTGAAAGAATGTTGAAACTAAGCCAAAAAAAGATTTCATTGTATTTTATTATACACAAGACATTATACTATTTATTCATACAGCCAACTCTTTAACATTAACGGGTTGATAACATTTGCCAGCAACGTTATTAGAACTTTTGGTCAGACCTAAGTAAATGGTGACCGGAACATTAGTCGCAATTATAGAATTCAATAATACTGTATATTTGTTCTTTAATTGATCAAGCATCTTCTTAAAGTGAGACACAATCTAAACGGAAGTGTTGAAGTATAGATGTAAAAACTTGAATTCATCGCTCCTCCGTCTCTCATAGGCCATAACAGACATTAATGATAATTGATTAAAGACCATATATCAGTAACGTCTTGTTATAGTAAATGAACTAGTTCCTTATTGCATTTCTGAAGGATTAAATAAAATGATGGTAAAGAAATGTGTTCCAAAATAGATGAAAAAAAAACACTTCCTGTGATTAGCAAGAGCAGCTACATCGCGCTTCACATGCTAATCCCGCAGAGATTTCGCTAACAGATTTCTTTGATCTCACATTGTCCTGTTATGATGAACAAAGACAATATCTTTTTGATTCAAACTTTTAAAAAACTAGGTCGATTCGGTTCATTTCTAGAAGAACGCGAACCGATTCCATTTCTTATAATGAATTCTAGCATGACAGGAAAGTCGGATTCATTTTCTACTTAATGATTCGTGTCGAGAGAATGAGAAAATTCGCAAAAGCAAAATATCTTCAATAAAAGCCTAGATATTGCGTAAATTATTGATTAAATATAACTAGTTTATCCAATATGCAGATTTAAAAAAAAAAAGAATTCATTGAAAGTTATTTTTTATTATGATCACGTCAAAGCTGTGTGTAAATAGTCTATCATTAACTAATTGTTAGTGTTAAAGAAGTTTTATCTTATCCCATATGTACAATGTGTTTATCGTTGCAAGCAATGAATATAAATATATATATATATAACCAGAGCTCGGAAACGAAAGAAATTTACTAGAAAGTAGTCGAGAGTCAAGAACACACCAGAGAGAACATACATGATCTATACAGAAAAAAAGAGAGAATGCATTACTGATGAAACTACTTAGCAGCTGCTCTTCATCAGTAAGCAGTAGGTTTCACTCATCGACTCAAAAGCATTTTTTGCACGCATTATAAGTTTTACATTCCGGCGCTAATTCAATGAAAGATATAATACTACTTCTGCTTTTATAAGAAAATGTTTATCGTTGTTAAAACTCAAATAATCTTATTTTTTATGGAGAAAAAAAACATTGTTGTACATCTGAAGATAATAAAACCGAAGATTAGTCATTTGAAATATCGTTAACAATTATTATTGGATTAAATAATTGCAATGAATTGTCCTAGCACCTATATATACATATACATACCAATATAATCATAGTTTAAAGACGATCATTAATATATTCAATACAAAAAAGAAAAGTATTCTATCAAAACAAAAATATATTAATGTAAGAATGAAAATTCATAACACTTAATGTTGAGAATCATAAATACATATGATACAATAATAACATGAAAATGTAATGATCTAATATAATATTTTGTTTCGGATTAATTATTAATTTATTAAAGAAGAGTTATTAATATTAATCGTTGATATTATTATATATCCATTCAAAGTATAATGAATGCACAAAAGATACCTATTTGCTATAAAAGTTTATTTAGTTCTTTTACATCTAAAAATAACTTTCAGAAATGTTTCTAGGAATTCTATTTCTGAATTATAATTCAGTTCTCATAGTTTGTCAGTATATTACTGTTAAATTGAGTACATAAATAAATACGTAGTACACCTTTGAACTCGTACATATGCTCGAAGAGTCAATGCAGGAAAGTTTCAAGAGAAAAGATGGTTTAATCTAATACCATAATGTTAATAAACAAATATTAAATGACCATGTTAAAAAATAAACTTTTGTCATAAAAAGTTATTATTGATCGAATCACAGTTGTGTTCCTTTGCGTTGTTTTTTTTCACTTATATTGATCATGTATCATTCAATAGTGTTTATCTATATACTTTTTCCAGTATACTATTTTCTTAAATGAAGCGAGAAATATCGATCGATTATAGCATGAACAATCGCACGAGTTCGGAAAATTGAGACATTATATGAAAAATCATCTATCAAAAAGAAGAAAAACGCAATTTGTCTTGATAATTAGATTCTAGTTTGATTATATGATAATAATAATAACAATAATACAATTGCGATTTTCCAAGGGAAAGAAAAGATATGATACAAAACAAAATACGCAGATATCAATATAACTAAATGATTGCAAAAGAAAGATGAAGGAAAAAAATCTAACTAAAAATAAAAGGAAGTGATAGTAGAAAAATGATGAGACAAAATATATCTATTTTGTTTTTGGTAACGAATAAATTCAACTAAATTTTACTCAATGACAATCTCCATGTGTTTTCTTAAATTACAAAACAATAAAATAGACGGAAACCAAACATTTTGTATAACCATCAATAAGATGCTTTTGCGATCTAATGATGAAAGTCAATAGATCAATTGATAATGTTTGAGTAATATGTTAATTTAATAGCACTCCTTTCGTTTCGTCAATTATACTATACACTCATTACGAATCAATATTGTTTTTTTTTATTGTGTTTACTAAGAAAATAACAAATTCTTATGATCTTGAATTTAACAGAGAGTTGCTGGGTATAAACGATAACTTTTATTTATTAATTGATTATATTTCTGTTTATCTTGACAGCATTGATATATGATATCGGGTTGAATGAATAAACATATTTAATTACTTTTATTCTACCATTACTTCAGCAAGTAATAGATAAAACTCTACAGCACTATAACCTTGAATAATAATGACGACGAGAAAGTACATCGCCTTTCTTTTCCATAAAGAAATATCCTCGCTGACATCGTTCTATCTTTATGTTTTATAAATACGTACCATACTTAGCATCTTAACGATGATACAGCTGTTTTCACAACATTAAAAGTGCTCTAAAAGTACAGATTGCAAGCTGGCATCTGCCTATATAAATTTAGCTTGTTCAATTAGTAATGCTATCAAGATATTTCATATCATTCGTCATAAACTTACGATTAATCATGATGTCACAACTTTTTGTCTTTCTCTCTTTTGCGTTTCTTACATCGGCAGCTCCCATATTTAATTCAGGAATCACTAAAAATATTTCATTAAACACTACTAGTAGTAGTAATGAACTTCAAAACCAAAAACCATCTATAGTCAACGGTAAATTTCCACAAAGGCAAAGAAAGGAGCCGTATTATGTTTTGTGGTTATCAGCATCAGCGCAGCAGACCGATGGAATTACCGATGGTATCCAACCAATCTCATCAATTGGTCAAGAAACTGATACCACGAATAGTCTTTGGTCATCTGTATCAGTGCAACAGACAGGTAGAACTAGCAATGATACTCAACCAACACCATATGTAGTTCAAGCAATTGATACTAACAATAGCCTATCGTTACCCACATCAGTCCAACAGACAAGTGGAACTAACAGTGATACTCAACCAACACCATTTGTAGTTCAAGGAACTGATAATAACAATAGTCCATCGTTATCAACACTAGCGCAACAGATGGGTGAAAGTAACAATGATATACAGTTAACTCCATTAGTAGATGTAGGAACTGACACTAACAATAGTTCGTGGTCATCTCCACCAGTCCAACAAACAGGTGGACTCATCACTGATACTCGACCAACGCCACTTGTCGTTCAAGGAACTGATACCACAAATAGTCCTTTGCTACCTGTATCAGTCCAGCAGACAAGTGAAGCTAACAGTGATATTCAGCCAACATCCATTGTAGTTCAAGAAACTAATGCCAACAATAGTCTATCAAAAGGTCAAGGAAACGAAAGCAATAAAACTTCAGAAGTAACGGAACCAGTATCGGAAAATATATCTTTTTACAATGAAACTTCTCAAGAAAATGCGTCTGGTAGTACATCAAAATTGGAAGACAGAAATTCATTTTCTGGTGGTAGAACATGATCAACATGAAATATTTGAGAAAACTTTAAATAACTTTGCTTTCAAAACATTTGATGAAGTACACATTTATTCAAGCAGAAATTATTCATGCGTTTTTCTGATAAAATGTTCTTGTCCGAGCAATACATTATAACGATTGTTCTATAAACAATGTGCTTATTCATGATTCGCTTGTTGTTCACGAACATGCACAAAACATAATCACATTCTAGCTCATATATCACTAAAGACGGTCGCTTTTGTCATTTTTATTTTTGTTTCTTTATCAATCATTTTACGAGCATATGCCAGTAAAGTGATTGAAAGATACTACCGTTAGTAACACATGAGCTAGTACGTGGTCAACAAATGAATCGTTACTGAGACTTTTTATTAATCTTAAATAACTTTCAAAACAAAAGCTAAAAGTTCAATTTATATCATATTTGCACTTATTATCTCATTGATCTCAGTAGCACTAATATGGATCTATACAGTTACGAGATCTAAATAAAATTTATCAAATATTTCTAATTAAAACACTTCTTCAGCGTTTCATCACCGTTTTATCAACAATCTTTATTTAGAAAAAGACTTTCTGAATAAAAAAAATGATATTTTCACTTTTATTCATTTTTCAGTGTTGCTTATGATTGATATTCTATTTAAACAACTCTTTGTTTTTGTAAATTTTAGTTATGAAAATGTACTGTAGAAGCCTATGTGGAAATTATTTCGTTTACCATTGTTAGCTGAGTCATAAGATACATCCCGGACTTATTTTTAGGAATATTTCTTTGCATGAAAAATAAATATTGAAAACAATCTTTCGTAATAATCAGCTTCACACAAATGCAACTATCACGTTCATGCTTTTATTTGAAAGAGAAGACAAAGAATTAAAAAATATATATATACACTGACTCAAAATCATTTGAACACCTCTAACTTTTATCATAGAAAAGAAATGTAAAACAAACTTACATCAAATTTATGACACCATTCGATAGCTTAAAGTCTGTTCTATCATCTATCTGAAAACTTTGCCTTAAGTTTCTTACGCTTTTCTCTATTACAAATTATTACTTGTGTTTATTGAGAAGTGTGGAGTTTTTTCTTTAAATTACATATTTATTATGCATGAAAACATTTTGAAGCATACCTTATTGGATAGAAGGGAAATTCTCTACGTTTTGTGATGCTTTAAAAAGGTATACTAGATTTTGAATATGCTATGAACTTTTTATAATACTGATAGGAATAATTCTATGATATTTGTATGGCATATGACCCTATCGATATCTTTCGAGTTTCATAACGTATTCAAAACTTTTTATTTGGTTTTAAATTATAATATTGCACAGGGAATTTTCATTTTGCTAAATGAGATATTTTTCAAAATGTTCTGATTTAAAATAAAGATATAACTAAAAAGAAAACCTTCACTTTTCAGAAAATGCAAATATAAATTCGTGATAGTCATAAACTTAAGAAACTCAAAAGGAATTTTTTTTCTTCATTTTTTCAAATAAATGATAGAACAGACTCTGCACTATCGTGTGATATAAATAAACTTGATATGGGACTTTTTTTTTCTTTGCATTGAGATTTCTTTTGTATATTAAAAGTTATTGATATTCGAATAATTTTTAAAGCTAGTATATGTCAATAAACAGTTGGAATAGGTCGTTTGAGATATTCTTTCCATGCTTGTTTAAGATAAGCTCGAAGATCTTCATATCGTTCTTGTTTTGTATACATGCGTAATTGAGGTAAATGAGTTGTTGAAGATGAAGATGCACTCTAAACATATTTTGTGTATTTTAATATGTGATAAATCTAATGAAGCTTACAATCGGATGTGTTGATAGAGGTTCGTTCATGCTACTAGTTGCTTCCACAAGGGTTTCAACTGGAACAGTCGGTTCATTATCATCACCGGATGTGCTATTGCAAAAAAGAAAAATATATATATTATACAATTGTATTTTTTAATATGAAGACCAAATAAAGAAAACCCATATTGAAGGGAAGTTGTTATATGAATAAAATCTTTCTATTGTATACATATTTATTTATGAGGGAACTACTTGAACTTTAGTTCTCCGGTTAAGCTCATATTGAGCCCACAAAGAAGTCTTGGTAAGGTTAGAAAAAGTTTAAAAGAGCTCATGCCCATTAATAGTATTTCGGCTTGAAATCCAACACATTGACAAGTCTAATGACTTTTAAAATACTCTGAAAGTTTCAGCTGAAAAGAATGTTTCTCTGTCGAGATATTGAATTTCAAAGTACACTAGATTTTTGTTTCAAAGGACTGTTTGTTGGAAATTTAATATCTTGATAAAAAGCAACTTCTTTTCGCCTAAAACTTTCAGGATATTCACTGAATTCATGAGGCCTATTTATAAGTTGAATTTCAGATCAAAAATTCAGTAAAAAGGTCATAAATCTGCTTTAGAGGCTCATGAGCACCAACACTTTTAAGCTTTTTCTAGTCTTACCCCGACTTTCTTGTGAGCTAATGAGTTCAAATAGTGAGTTAGAGTTTAACCCTTTATTAGGGCTAAAGTGTAGATTGTCTATTTTAAGCATATCAACAAAAAGAAAAATAGCTCATATTTTCAACAATGATATAAGGCTTTTTGTTTTCAAAAGTTAATTTGTTTACCTCGATGAAACACCGGTAGCATCGGATTGTGATTCTAATGTATCCGATGGTGTTGTACGTGTTAGAGCACTTCCTGTTGCACACGCAACATTCTACAATAACAGAACAAGAAAAATAGGAAGTTCTATTGTTAAGTTAAAGTTTTACAAAACGTGTTAATGAACGTATTTGTGTTTTTGAATTATCACCCATTTGTGCATGCCATTGTTTAAGACGATCTTCGATTTTACTAAGGCGAACATGATCACTTGTAACATATTGTATTGCAGCTGCACTTCCTAATGGTGTTGAACGATATAAACGTGTGGACGATGTACTATTTGTTGTTGATGTATGTGCTAATGTTGTGCCTATTCGACGGGTATTCTAAATAATTTATTCAATAGTAAATTCAAATGGAGGAATATATGTATATATATATATGAAACAAACGGAATGGGTTGCATTATGAATATGAAGAAGCCATGATTGTTTAACATGATATTGTTGTTGTTCATCATTCATGACGGGTGCCAATTGTCGTTTCATTAAAGAATTAAATAATGGTAAATGTAATATACGTGTTTGATAGGCTTGAAGCGAAAGAAGTACAATTTCACGTAAACGTTCACTAAGACCTTGTGTACCATGACGTTTTTGTAAACGAATAAAATTATGTTTTAAGATATAAAATAGATCACATGAAGCTGTACATCTTGCAGAATTCATATGTGTAGTTAAATCACATACATAAGATTCAAGACCAACAATATCACCTGTATTTAATAAAGCAACTTGCCTATTACGATGAGAACGTTCTTTTTCAGCTTCAGCAAATGTCATATAACGTCGTTTTATAGCAAAACTTTCTCTTGATACAATATCTATTGGACGAGATAATTGAAGCATTGGAAGAAATAATTCAAAAGCACATCTAAATATATTAATTTTTAACATGTTGAAGAAAACAAAAAAAAAATCCTAGCAAATAATATTTACTGTTTCATTGGATCTGCTTGTGGAAGAAGATGTGGATATTGAAGCCAATGAAGTAATGGATCTATAGTTAATTTAATTTCACCACTAATTCAAGGAAAATTTGAGATAAAAATATTTAAGAAAATAAAAAAGAAATTATTTACTCTACCTCCATATAAAATAAACAGCATCAGCCAATGTACCTTGTCTATAAAGCATTGTATCATATGCAAATCTTCCTCGTTCTAAACTAAGACTGACAAGACGTTTCAATCTTGCTGACCATGAAGAAAATAAAGGACATCGATTAATAAATTCAGTTTTTTCTTGTAATTCTTTTTCATGTGCTGATTTAAGTGTTCTATTAAAAATAAAAAGATTAATAATAAGAATGAATTTATAATAAAATATATATGAACTACATACCGACTAAAAACTTCACGATCAACAACTAATAAATCAGTTGGTACAGTTGTCATAACAGTTGCACTGCGAGGTTCATTTGTAATAAGAGCTCGTTCACCAAAATCAAAACCACCAACTAAAAAATTTCAATCCTTGTCAATAAAATCATCATTAGAAGCATCAAACTGGCATATGTTATCAATAATTATATTCTAAGACAATAGTCCAAATTAAATGATTTTCTCTTGTTCTTTATAATGTCTTCTATCTCTCAAGTACAAAAATAAAACTAGTGTTTCGTTTGATTTAATCTATTCAAACCGATACTGATATTGGTCATCAAGAATTCGCAATAGTTTCATCATAATTTCAATGAAATTAAACAGAAACCACAATTTGGAGCAAATATTCACCTAGTTGACTTTTAAGTTTTCACAATTGATGACAAAGAAGCCAGTTGATTCTTTAATTTTAGAGTCAACTATTTTTTGATTTACATACTTATATGTATTTATAAATAAGAATAAGTTTGTTTATCTATATCTGTCAATCACTCTAGTTATCAATAATAAAAGATTCACTCTATTTTAAACTGAATATCTGTTTCAATGAACTTACGACTAAAAAGACAAATAAAATATTTGATAATCACTGATCTAAACAATAAAATGCTCTAACTAGTAGCAAATAGAATCAAATGCAACAACGAATATTCTAACAATTCAATTTTTCTCTTAGTTAAGATGATTTTTAAGATTCTATTCAATAAATTAAATTGAAAAATGAAAATTTTAAATATTATCAAAATAAGAATGAAAAACGTTCAACGAATTTTTCTCATTTCTACCTAAAGTAACAATATAATTGCCGAAAGCTTGGGCAATAAGTTCTTCACGTTTTTCAGGATCAGCATCAAGTTGAGCAAATTCAGTAATTGTATCAATATCAATAAGCGTTGGTTGAGGAGTATCATCATCAAGACGATAAA